AGTCAGACCAAGGTTCGAATTTTTATGTCTTGTTTATTTCAACAAGTAATGAGTGAAATGGCTATTAAACAATACAAATCTAGTGCCTATCACCCCGAATCACAAGGGGCTCTTGAGCGTTTTCATCAAACGGTAAAATCTATGATTGGAAAATATTGTTATCAATATAAAAAAAGGATTGGGATGAAGGTGCATTTTGTTTTGTTTGCTGCTAGAGAAGCTGTTCAAGACACTCTTGGGTTTAGCCTTTTCAATTAGTTTTTGGACATACGGTTAGGGGTCCGCTAAGACTTCTAAAAAGAAAATGGTTGACTGAAAAAAAATGAGATGCATCTTTTGGACTATGTATCAAATTTTAAAGAAAAAAATTATATAATGCTTTCAAAATAGCACAAGATAATTTAATAAACTCTCAAATTAAAATGAAGACTAGATACGATAAAAATTGTAAAAAATCGTAAATTTGAAAGTGGTGACAAAGTTTTAGTATTTTTACCAATTCCTAATCATCCTCTACAAGCAAGATATTTTGGTCCTTATGAGATAGAAAAGAAAATTAATGATGTAAATTATATCATCCACACCCCAGATCGAAGAAAAAGAAAAGAATTTGCCACATTAATATGTTAAAAAATTACATCGACAGAAATTATATAACTAATACTAAACCAGTCTCAACTTTAATAAACGTTAGTAATACAAATCAATTTGAAGATGATTTAGACAATAATGAAGATACAGTTATTAGGGAGAAGGACATAGATCAGAGTAGTCATTTAAAAAACTCGGAAATCCTGTCTAATTTAAATGTAAAAATTAAACATTTGTCAAATGAGAAAAGAAAAGACATTCATGGTTTGGTCAATGATTTTCAAAATCTTTTTCCTGATGTTCCTACAAAAAACAACGGTTGCAGTACATGATGTTTTAGTTGGAGATGAAAACCCATCAAACAACATTTTTATCGGGTGAATCCAATCAAGCTTCAGCAGTTGAGAGCAGAAATTAAATATATGCTGGACAATGACATAATTGAACCAAGCAACAGTCAGTGGAGTTCTCCTTGTATTCTTGTACCAAAACCTGATGGCACTTACAGATTTGTAACAGATTTTCGAAAAGTAAATGCAATAACCAAAAGTGACTCTTTTTCCAATTCCTAGAATTGATGATTGTATTGACAACATTGGCAAGGCGAAATATGTCAGTAAATTTGATTTAATGAAAGGTTATTGGCAAGTACCATTAACTGACAACGCCAAAGAGATTTCAGCATTTGTGACTCGGATGGTTTATACCAATATAAGGTTATGCTGCTCGATGAAAAAAAAAATGCACCGCAACCTTTCAAAGGATGATGCATTCCCTTCTACATGAAATTCAGGGATGTGAGGTCTATATAGATGATGTAATTGTGTACAGCATGACTTTGGACGAACATATACACATCATCAAACAATTTTTTCTTAAGCTGGAAGAAGCAAACCTATGTGAACCTAAACAAGAGCGAATTCTGTCATGCAAACATAAATTATTTAATCATACTGTTGGTCAGGGACAGGTTAAGCCTATCACAGCAAAAGTGGATGCTATCTTAAAGTATCCTATCCCAACTAACAAAAAACAGCTAATGAGATTTCTCGGTATGGCAGGATTCCACAGAAAATTTTGTAAAAATTTCTCATCAATAGCAAGTCCTCTCACCGACCTACTTAAAAAAGGAAGTAAAATACAAGTGGAGTGAAACCTGTAATAAGGCTTTCAACAGAATCAAGTCGATTCTCATTGGTGGCCCAGCTCTTGCAACTCCAGTTTTTTCAAAACAATTTAAACTGCAAAGTGATGCCAGTGATGTCGGTATGGGTGGTATCTTAATCCAAGAAGATGATGATGGCGTCGATAGAGCCATTGGATTTTTCTCAAAAAGTTCAACACCTACCAGAAAAATCTATTCTACTATTGAAAAGGAATGCTTGGCAGTGTTATCAGCACTACAACATTTTGACTTTTACCTCAATGTTACTGTTCATTCTGTTCTGATTTATACTGACCATAATCCATTAACTTTCCTTCAAAAAGATGACTAACAAAAAAATCAAAGACTTACAAGATGGAGTCTTCTCCTGCAAGAATATGATATTATTATAAAACACATTAAAGGAAGGAAACAATGTTATTGCAGATGCTTTATCTAGAGCATAACTTAAAAAAAATTGATATTATGACTTATTTCTTTACAAAAAAAAATAGACTGATATTGTCTTATAAAAAGTTTTTCATTCAAATTTCAAAACTTTTTACTTTGAAGGGGGGAAGTGTTACGAGGATGCATTTCTATAATAAGGGATTCCTTTGAGTTCTACTTGTTATTACAAAAAAAAGTTTTCATTCATGAAGTAGTTGTAAAATAGAGAAATTAGAAATAGAATGTTTGGAAGATTCTAGATCATTCTAGTATTTCTAGAAAAATCTAGATGATTCAAGAAACATCTAGAAATATGCAAATTAGGTGTTAGCCCCTATAAAAATGGGATTTTGGAAAAGGGTTGTCAGTTGTTGAATGGAAATTTCTGCTGTTATCAACTCCGCTTTTGATTCAAGGACTATTATATCCATCCGAAAGAATCTCTATAAAAAGTTGCCGATCAACCAAAACCCAAAAGAGAATTTCATGGAACACATTTGGTAAATAGAATTTTGACTAATTTTCATTGACCAAACTAAAAATTAATATTTATTTACAGACCTTTGTGGATTTCCAAATATAGCACTTAGATTACTTCACTAGCCCTAAAGTGATAAAGATATTTGACTCCTTTCCTTCTCCTCATAACACTTCTGCCAGTAACTCTGTGTTTTCTGTTTTGTAGGCCACAATTGTTTATCTTGTATATATTTTATGTTCTGTTTTAGTAAATTAAATATTTGTTTGTGATTTAGCTCTGTGTTGTGGTAAATAATTTTTTTTTCCTTTGTTACAATTATCAACACGTAACAGTACAAAAAATCCAACTGAGGTAGCTTCAGATTTTACATGACAGAAGCTCCTCTATGGAATGGAGTTTTATACTTCAGAAAAAAATCCAGCAATAACCGAACAGCTAGCCCTGGCTCACCCCCAAATGTGCTACAATCATAGCTCACCATAACCACTACTACAATATCTATCACAGGGGATGATGTAATAGGACTTTTGCTATACTCTACACCTAAACCCCTTTTCCAACTGATGAAACATTGCAAGCCTCTTGCTGTTCTATTGCTATTTCCATTGAAAGTATTCAGGTGAAATACATTCTCTTCAATTCTAACTTTTGCAGTTAAGACCTGCCATGCCATACCATATGTACATTGTAGTAAGCCACCTTCATTCTCTTTATAAGCTCTATAAATTAATAGTTTTGTTAGTTTATCATTTAGTAACTGCATCTTAAAATCCTTTAAATAGCCTAGTTTATTGTGAAACATCAATTCAAACTTGGCCAGTAATTACTTCAATTCCAACAAAGCTTCCTCTTTATTCAAAAGAAGCATGGTTCTTCAGTCTAACTTCAAATTCTACAACAAATTTCTGTTGATGGAAACATTACCCCCCCACAACCAACAGCAGTAAATGACTTACTCCTTCCATACAATATCCCAATGTCAGCTTAACTCTCCTACATACATTTTCAACCAAACTGGCATCACTTACAAGTCTTTCAAATTATCCAATTCCTTAAATTTTTATAAATTCATTACTGAAGATGAAGTACCTGTGTCTATATCCATCATCAACTTCTATTAATTCACAAACAAATCAACATGATATACCAATTATACAAATCATCTCTAGCTTTTGAAACAAACAACCATCAATGTTATTCAATGCTGTCTTTCTGTCAGTATTTCCTTTTTACTTCCATCATGTTTACACTTTTGACAAGCAAGCTCAATATGCTTGCATTTGAAACACTCCTTAATTCTAAAAGACCACTTATCAACATGATGGTTGATGCTTCCACCACGATATCATTCATGCTTTTCTAGGAATAGATTCTCAAGTTTCATTCCTTGGCAGGCCTTGTGCATTTTGTATGTTTTGAGAAAATTTTATAACTGACTCCATTGCTACAGATATTTCAAGGGCATCATTTAACACCAGTGTTCTTTCACTGAAGGATTGTTGCTGTATTTTTTCTTTTATTCCTCATCCTTAACACTAGCAAAACTGTTAGATATTTCTTAAATTGCTCCATAAAACTTCACTTCTTTTTCAAAATTTTTTCTAAGCATAGTGACATACTGAATATAGTTTCAGTGTCCCTTCTATCCTGAAAATAGAACAAAAAGTACTAATAATTTCCATTGAAAGTAAACTGAATGTTGCTAGTCACTAATTTCATAAAGCTTTTTAAATGTTTTCTCACTCTGAGAGATCATGAAGAATTGCATAATTTTTAACACCAACTACAGACAATTATATTGGTCAGTGTTTATGGTTATCTTTCACATCAATGACAAGATACCTTTAACAACACTACATAATCTCTTCATTCCCTGTTACAGTTCCAAATAATGATATCCTTGTTGGCAACTCTGAAATCACAAATCCATGGGTTATGTTTCTCAATGCCAATTTTATATACTAAATAACACCTGATAAATGGCTATCTTGGTAGAAAGTACCTCTTTCTGGAAACATGAAATATTTATATTCTCATGATGAGCAGAGCCCCACTCAGTGGTTGTCATAATTAAACTAAGCGCAGATAACAAGTCATTTCATAAAAGTCATTTCTATATTATGGATTCAACTTTAAACAAACTTTTCACAATTCAGAAAATCTTGAAAATAATCCAACTATAGAAAAAGTTGTTGCATTCATTAGCATTGTTTAATTGCCAGAATTTCTAAATCAAAAAATACTAAATTAAGAAAATAAATTGCTCAAATTGTATATACATATGTTAGCAAAAAGTTCTTCATTCAATAGAAACTTTATCACAAAAAAACTTACCTGTTTAACATTGTATCCTGCTTTTGCACTAGTTTCAATAAACATCACACTTAATTCTTTAGCTTTTCGTTCACCTTCTTCTGTTGTTACTTGTCTGTAAATAAATAAAAAAATCACTAAAATATTTCCATCATTTTTTTGGTTGAGTGAGGGTATGCTAATATAGCATTTACTAAATATAAAGATGTACAACTTATAATCCTTCTTATTCAACTTGGTATAAAGAATTTTGAAAATAATGTAAAACAATATTCATATAACAAAAAAAATATATATATATAATGAAATGAACAAAGTCCGGCAATTATTTTAAGACATTTTTATGTTTATACATTCTTTTTATAGATAAAAATATTTAAGTAAATGCTCTGTTTTATAATAAACAGTATTAAACAATATTTACCAGCCTGAATGTCTGAGAAATTTTCATAGAAAATTTTTGTCCTCTGACGGGAACTCAACCTGTATCCTATACAGAACCGTCATATAGCCTGATGTGCCTTTAACTGTTTCGGCCACAGAGGAACGTTCGGTTAGCAAGGTCGATTTTTACTGTCTTTAAACTTTAATCTTCCATGAATCTCTCACGTACATTCATATCTGCTCATGGTGTATCAAATGTAAACAAATGACATCACACATTATGAAATGGACAAATTCCAACAATTATTTTAAGATATATAGGATATACCACTAACCTCCTCAAGACACAGCTAAACTTATTAAAATCAGCAATACTGAAATCAGTTCCATCAAACTCTACAACATTTATCCCAGCCACCTATATAGAATGTCTATATGGGAAGGTAAAAATCACAGTGCTAGCTAACATTTACAACACATAATTTCTCAAGTTGCTACTTCCATATATCACTTTAAATAAATTGATCATAACATACTTAACCAAATATGTATAGTGTTAATTCCACTAATGAAGGTCTTCAAATACTGCACTCAAATAAACCTAAAAATAGCACCTGTGATTAGTTTGATGTTGAAAGTTTCTTTACTAATGTCCATGTCAAAGAAACTATAGACATCGTAATACAAATACAAAAGCATTCTTCACTTTCACCTCTTAATATTAATCCTACTGTTCTATGTAAACTTCTATCCTGCACAACAAAAGTATCTTTTTATGATCATTACAATTAATTTATTTATGATCAGTTTTCTGAACAAAAATAAAAACATCATTGTCTTATTCTATTGTGAGCAAATGAACCCTAACTATATACAAGATAAAAAACAACAAAAATTTATTTATAAAAAATTTAAAAACATCAAACATTAGGACACCAAAAACCCCACCCCACATGTAAAAACAGTGTTTATGAATTGTGCTTTTTGGCACATTGAATCTTTTACATCAATAATCAAAAAGCAATACTGCCACTTTAACTAATTTTGTGATTTGATAAGATCATGTGGGTGTATGTAGTGTGTCTTTGAAGGAATAACCTTGGCAAAGAACATCCCACTCCAGGTATGATTCTTAAATTCCTCTCTCTAAGTAACATATGATCACTGTAGGTCATCTTGACCCATTCTGCCCTGGCCAATGCTCTCATCATGGAAATCATATGCCCAGCAATGCTGTTTTAACATTGTCATGAAGCAAGTATTACTAGGTTATACATTACCAGTAACCTCTGAGCAGACACTAGTTTTTTGATTTTTTTAATATTAAAATCTGTTACTTTCTTACAACAGAAAAGAAAATATCTAAATAGTTTCTTAACATCCAAATCACTTTGTAATGTATTTTTTAGCCCTTGGTATGGTTGAAAACATTTATTACCTCTTTTCACACACATACACACTAAAATAAATATATATATATATATATACACACACACACACAGAGTCAAAATCCACTACTCAAGAGTTTCATGTAATAACAATCAATCAGGCGGATAAAATATATAAGATTACATCCACCTGATGATTGGTATTACATGAAACTCTGAGTAGTGGGATTTGCTATTACTTTATTAATATTATCATATATTGTTCTGTTACCAAAGTACAGCACCTCTATTGTTTTATTTTCTCCTTGTTTATTCCCCTTTTACTTTAGGTACATTTTAGATTAGTCACCATTTTTTACCATATCTTGTTTAGCCCCTAGTAATCACCAGAACCATCAGAATAAAACACAGGGTTAAAGCATGTGGTTCCTACTTATCCTCCTAAATCTACCCCCACCCAACAATAGCATCACCAGTACATATATTCTTAAATTTTTCTCTCTGCATTGGTCTGCTTTAATATCACATTATTTGATCATTTCTTCAAGTTAGCCACCTTGTATACATTTATTTTTGCTGCTGTACTTTGTCCTGTAGAACCACGTGTTGACTGTTTACACAGTGTCCTACTGTAACTTTCATGTAACTTTCTTCCTTCCTGTAGACTTATCATTATAAACTTTATAATATATTCCTGTAAGCAAACTATTTGCTATCTCCTTTACCCGTTTAGACCAACAGTGCCACTGCTATGTTCAGCCTTTGTCATGTTCTTCTTTCATTTCTTTTTTACATTTTTTATTCATTTTCCTATTCAGACTAAACTACTGTCAAGTTTGTATTTATTTTTCTTCTAGTCTCATGCTTTTGGCTTTCAATAAACCTGATGATGAACAGGACTTTGTCCTAAGAGTTTTGATTGCTATAAGGCATTTATCTGACTGAGGTACACATATGTGTGAGATGGAGACATACCAGGAGGCAGAACGCGTGTGCATGTGTGTACACAAACAACTTTCACTGATCTTGGAAAAGCATTCAACCTTGTGAGCAAAAATGACTTGTTCTCACAAGACTCCTCAGAACATCCTTATTGTTTCAGGTAAATATTTCTGGAGGCATTCAATATTCAGAGCCGTGTAAAGTAGGATTGTATTCTTCCACTCAGTCTTTACAGTCATGCTGAAACACGTATCTGGAACATCAACTGATGGTGTATACCTACCTCCACAACATATCAGATGGAAGGCTGTTCAGTCTGTCACTATTGAGGGCAACATTAAGTGTTCAACAGGTGCTCATCAGAGACATCTGCAGACAATCCAGCTTTAGCAACAGACTCTAGGGAGAAACTACAGCAAGTTCTCAAGAGTCTACCAACTGAACAGAACCAACATTCTGAACATCAAGTGGACCAGGAAATCAACACTGAAGTTCTAGCCCACACCAAAATACCAGGTCTCCTCACCCTGCACTAGCTACATCATCTCTGCTGGCTGAGTCACACACATTCTATGTCTGATAGGAGGGTTCAAAGAAAAAAACTCCTGCTGTACCATGAAATTGCCACAAGGATGATCCCATCTTCATTTGAAAGACATCTGTTCAAGAGACATGGAGTCATTGGTCCTGGACATAAAGAGTTAGGAGAAGGACATCACTAATGATCACTCCAGCTGGAGGTCAGAAGGAACTATATGTAGGGGTGGAATGAGAAGAAGAAGGACTGAGGATTTCAACTGAGGAAAAGCGTGCTCTTTGAAATATAGCAACAAAGCAACTCAGGTGGAGAGCATCTTCAAGTGCAGTCACTCCAGCTAAGTCTGTCACTCAAGTGTGGACCAACACAACTACAACAGAGACTACTACCACCACCTGAATCAAAACTCCCCAGGTGCAGATTAAGGGTCTCTGAAAACTGATGGAGGCCACTCAAAAATATATATATGTGTGTGCGTGTGTGCGCACGCACTAAAAATTTCTCTAATCATGAAAAGATTCAAAAAATACAAAAATTCTGTTTGATCCTTTGGTCAGAGTTTGAGAAGTCAACAACTTTTCAGACAAAAAAAAAAAAAATGAAAATGAATGAAATATCTCATACATGAATACAGAGAATGAGATGAACAGAATTATAAGTAATAGATAAAGCAAAGCTTAAGACAATAACTGGTCAGTAATGAAATAGGAAAGGAATTGCATGGGCAAATATTTGATTCCAGGGATTTAGAATTTTTAATAAAATATTTTTCTGCCTTTAAGCCAGATCAACTGTCTCTCAAAAATGAACTTGAAAATTAAATAAAAAAAAAAAATTTATTAAAGAGAAAGACGGGAAGAAAAAAAGGCAGTATTAATATGCTGTTAAAGATTTTAATAAAATTAAAATTAATATTGACAATGAAGCAGGCAATGGTTTTGAGTGACAATAGTAACAGTAATAATATTATATGATGATAATGATTTCATAATGCTTTTATTAGTAATGACTCTAAAATAAAGTGAATTCTTTTAAGCAATTACTGAGTATTGAGCTATGGTTACTCCTCTTTTGAGAGAAGATCCTAAAAGCTTTCAGTGTCTTCTTAGTTTAAATTACATATATAAATGCAAATGGTGACCAGAAACACTTATTAGGTACAGTTATATTGCAAATGTTGAATAAATAATGAAAGCGCATATAAGAGTAAAAATACTGAAAAATGGCTGGTTTGTTTATTTTAAACTGTAGATAATACAATGACAGCCTTACCAATGCAATAATTTTTATATTCAGAATACTTGAATACATGTGATATTATGGTTTAATGAATTCAGTATAGAGTATTTAGTGCTACATTATGCTCATCCTTTGAGTATCAGAGTAAATTATTCTGGATACTTTTATTAAAAAATATTTTACTGATTTCTAAAGTTTCTATCTTTTCTGGCTTATGTATACTATACAAAAGTGAACTCCAACTTCCCTGTAAGCTATTTTATGAAGAGCAATAACTGTTTTCAAAAGAGTGAATTAATGCCATGAGCCCCATAATATAAAGTCTTTCACTTATTTTGACATCAAATATGATTTCAAGAGTTAGCTTCATCCTGTCAACTGACTAGTATATACATTCATTTAGCATTTAGAATACAATACATGAATGAACATGATATTTCCATTTTAACTTGAGGTTAGTGAAATCATGTATTAAATACAAATTAATTTAAAATATTTTAATATTAATATATTAATTTTAAATATTGCTTGTTCCTAATGAGCAAGTCTTAAATATAACATATTTAAGGATTCTATGTAACAGGCAGAGCATTTGTATTGGCTGATAACAGAAATTTATTCCCTTTTCAGTCAGTGGTTGATGCTAAAAGACTTAAAACAAATGTGTTACATATTTCAGTTACAGTTTGAAAGATTGAAAACTTGTCTCACCTCTTTTCTGAAAGGTCTGTTTTGTTTCCTACAAGCATAATTATCACATCACTACCTCTTTCTGTTCGTACATCATCAATCCATTTGGAAGTTTGTTGAAAAGAATTAGCATCTAGAAAAAAAGATAATAAAGATTTACCTACAAAGTAAGAATCATTTAGCAAATAGTAAAATAATAATCAATAAAAAATAGTTTTATACAAAATATGCTTAAACATAGGTACTCTATTATGTGAAATGTATACAAAAATGGTTTTATTAAATTTCAAAATTTTTTCAAAATAAAAATATCTACTTCAGAAATGTAAAATGCTTTTGAAGAACTTAAGTATCAAAATAATTTTTCCAACTACAGTTTAAAAATAGATATTTTTTTAAATTATAAATTTTAATCCAGTATGTTAGATTTTTTTTTGGTTTGTCTTGAGCACATTTTATGAAAACTTATGGTGAATGTAAACATAGAATTAGATGATCAATAAAGAATTAAAAAAGAAAAAAAAAAGAAAAGATCACTTACTTGTGATATCATATACAACCACAGCAACTGATGAGTCTCTAATATAGCTGGGAATTAAACTTCTGAATCGTTCTTGACCAGCTGTGTCCCATAACTGCAGTCTTATCTGTAAAAGATAAAACAAATAAACCTTCACTTTTCAGCTTGAAAAGATAATTTTTTTAAGTCTGAAAAACCTTTGTTTTGATTTAAACAAAAATATTATCTGAAGTAATTTTCTATATATGATAAATTGTTGTTTATGATATATATGATATGATAAATAGTTGTTTTATGATATATAATATATAATGATAAATAGTTGTTTATGATATATAATATGATAAATAGTTGTTTTATACATGTAAAATACAAGGCTAATTAAAAATCCTGAAAGTGAATATAGAGACAGGGAATTTTATTATTGATTATTAAAAAGCAAAAAATTTAAACAAATGCAAAATCAAATTTATTTGCTATAAACTTATTTGCCTTCTAATGAATTTGTACTTTACCTGTAATAAAACACAAATCAATGTTCATTTGCATTGTCCTTAAGAAAGACAACCATTATAAATGCTTTTATCAATCTAACAGTTAAAATTTCTATACATATTTGAAAAAGACAGACATAACAAATAACAGTAAATGTTCACTTATCTGTCCTTTATTGAGCTGTTTTTGTTTTGTGAAATACAATCTTTGTTATATATATATATATATATATATATATATATTTTACAATCAAGCTAACTGAAGTGTGCAATTCAGCAAAATTCAGAGTAAAAACAAGGTAAATGAACATTTGATTACATTTGCTAATATATATATATATATATATATATATATATATAGGCACACATACAGAGGGAGAGAGAGTCAATAATTATGTAATGATTCTGAAAGGCTACTGTCAAGATGGATACTTAGAGAAGCAAAATTTCCTTATTAATAAATATAAAGTTAAGCAGTTCACATTATTCAAGGCGAATTTAAGTAAAAAACTTGACAAGGTGATTTAAGTAAAAAAGTAAGTAAAAAAAACGAAAAAAATCTATCCCTAAATCATGTAATGATGAAAATCATTTTCTGTGTAACAGAGCAACCTATGTAGATTTTAGAACTGAATCTATATCTGGTGGCCAGTTGTAAAGAGTTAATGTGAAAAGCCTAGATAATTTAGATTCCACTGGTCTATCAAAAGTATCTTAGGGCCTGTTTATCTACATAAAGTGATAATTGATATTTGAACAGAAACTTGTGTTGACAAGAAACAAATGTAACTCTGGATGCTTACCCAAAGCAGAAAACTTAGAAGAAAATATCTTCCTAAAGAAAACATAACTGGCTCAAAAAAAAAAAAACTGATGGTGACATATCTTAAATGGCCACATACTGTTATTACAGTTGGAACATTAAACGATCCCTCATAAGATGACCCATACACATAGCCCAAAAGAACTTCTTGATAATGCTGTGAGATATTGAAAGTTTTATAAAGTGAAAATAAATAAAAAAACTGAACAGAAATTTCTTTGTGGACAAATGATTGATCGCTGTTTACTGATCATTAATTTTTTTCACCCATAGGATGGGAAGATAATTTATGAAAATATAGAAAATATATGTTGAGGTTTGAAACTGTATGGCTAGATAGATTATAATCAGATCAGATAATGTTAATTAGCTAAAGAGATCTGATTGATGATGTGGAGCCACCCTAAGAGTGGCAGTGAGAGGTTTTTCAAGATAGAACCCTGGAGAACCTGCAAAGAGGATTTAAACAGGACAAATTTGGAAAAGTTTAAAAAATGATAGATTTGGGAGTTCTGGCAATCAAAATTTAATCCAACCACATTGGATTACCTCAACATAAGAAGGCTGATTTTGGCCTTTTCACCATGGAAGACACTGCAAGTTGCCATCACCTTCCATCATCATCATCCTTGCAAGATAGCCACTGAGAAGAATTATTCAAATGAAGAAGATTTTCCTCAACTTAAGAGATTATCTGTTTGCAGACTAGTGACCTAAAGAAAGTATTGGAGATATGTTTTGGAAACTAACTTTGTAGATCTGAAATCAAAATTCCTTGATTGACTGTTGAACAGACTATTGTTCATCAATATTTTTTTGTTGTTTTTCCATTATGTCATGAATGCCTAAGAACTCACCAATCAGTTGTAGTTTATTATACCACAGCACCACCAAACTGGGAAGGGTTAAATTGGAAATTGTAACACTCATCAAATAAACACATTTTTATTGTTTCTTCAAAGTTGGTTGTTCATCCTGAAGTCAATTTTTTTCATTTTACTTATAACTTGACTGATTTGTCCCAGAAGACATTTCAATCAACTTTTTCGAAAACTTTTTCTGATCAAAACATAAACACAACATTAGTGGGGGAAGATCAACTAGCAGTAGGTAATATGAGAATTAAGGTTATATCTGTGTATGTTAAAAATTAATAAGCCTTACTAGCCAAGGCACTTATACTTGGAATCAGAAAAAGACACTTGAAATTTCTAGAACACATAATGAGGAAAGAGGATTTAGAAAATTTAACACTCACAAGACATATTGAAGGTAAAAAGAACAGAGGAAAGCAGTGAATAACCTACCTAGCAAGCTTATGTAAATGGTTGGCAGAACAAGACTTAGGAGAGGTAGCAAAAATACAAACATTGCTAAGGACTACAAAGAACCATGATCGGTGACATGAAGAGACACGGCACATAGAAGAAGACCAACCAAGAAACCTAAACTTTGTGGCCCATAATCAAGTGCAATATCTACATAAACTTCACTATCATACAGCTGGATAGCAGTTAGTTTTGTAGTTATTTACTAGCACTCATTTTTCAGCATTTGTGAATACAATGAAATCAAGTCACAAAATTTCAAACAAATGAATAGAAAGAAACACAGAATATTTGAGTTTAACAGCATTGTCTCTATTACAATTTAGAGTAAGTTACAAAAAAATCTGCATACAAAAATATAGGAGTGAAAAAAAATTCTAAAGGAAACATATTCTAATAATATTCAACAATTACAAATAATAATAAAAAAAAAATTTCCTTTTTTAAAAGTTGAGCTCAATATATATAGTTACAGCCATCAATCATTTCCTGACTGAAACTGATAATAAAATTTGAAGCAAAAGAACTCAGAAAGCTGAGTTTTATATTTGATCTTCACTTTCCATTGTTTCATAAATATCTTGCTAGAGACAAAATTGTCTACTAAAGATTGGGACATAAATAGCTTTGAACCTTTCCATACATACATGACTTGGGCTTAAACTGAGATTCCAGTTCAGATAAATGGAGCTGACAAGAATTTTATGTATATGGCAATAGTGATAAATATTTTAGTGACATAATAAAATGTCTCCCCCTCAGAGAATTTATGCATACCTTTATCTAAAACATTTTTTATCATTCTTTTTTAATATAACTTTGTTTTTCTTTGATCATTTAGCAAAAATTCAATCAACTTATTTTTCTAGTAATGATCTGGTATAATTAGATTCAGTTGTAAGCCTATTTTCATTTGGAGAAAAAAAAAAAAAAACTGATATTTAAAAGTATGTTATAGATATTTTTCCCTAATTCACTAAATTAGATAAATATTCACAAGTAATTAAAAACGCTAATAAAATTTAACACTTTTAATAAAAAAGTTGGTATTATCATACTTATTTGGGAATATACTTTTGCTATTGTGGGTAATATCAAGTTTTGGTCATCTATATTTCAGCTCTCCCATAAGACATTTGTAAATAGTAGATAAGAAATAAGTAGATTTCATCAAATATGGGTAAAGGAAGTGGACTCAATATCCATTTGACCTTTGAACTGAATCAACAAGTAACAGACACCCACTGTAAACAAATGTATTTTTTATTATATTTTAAGTAAAAATATTTTCTCAAAATTCAGTTAAATGATTTTTTTAACTAATGTTCATTGAATCATATATTTCAATATAACAACTAATTTATTTTGGGAAGAGTTTTTTTTTTTTATTACAAAATTTAAATTTTTTCTATTGGCAGACATCACACATGGTATAACCAAAGTTAATTTTGGATGACAAGTGACATTAAAAACAATTTAAATCATGCTTTAAGTAGGTAAAAGTAATTTTAATTTTTTTTATCATTAACTTCATACAATTTTTACATAATTAAATCAAAATTAAAACTTTAAAAGAAATTCAAATCACTGCAATATGTTTTAAACATTTTTCTAAAAAAAAGTTTGATCATTGCTACAATTTGTAATATTTTTGGTACCTACTTGTTCAGATAAGCAACATATCAATTATACTATTTCATATATAGATATTTCAGGGTTCTGTATACAAAATATTCTTAGATATGCACAAAAAAGAAAGCATAGTTTTGTACATTACAAAACAACAGACACTAGCTGATAGACATGTGTTTTTTTGCAACAGATCGAAAATCAATTTTTTCCGGATATTTTTAAAACTTGTTAGAAAAAGTGCCTTTTTTATTATACACTTTGCAATCTGGACTAGCATGTTCATCTTCGTTGTTATAATCATAATAACAATAAGTGAGTATAACAACGAAGATCTATTGTAAATCACCAGTCTACATATAGCACTTTTTCTACTTCAGTCATCAAGGTATTCAACAAAAAGTCATTTCCTCTACATTTTATCTACTGTGGTATTGATTATCATTTTATCTACTCTGGTATTGATTATCTTACTATTGGTGGAAATATTATTCTGTCACAAGTATAGGCCATCTGTATGCTTTTGCTGGGCAATGGATGAATTATAAGCAATACATATAGCATCTTATACATTTAAAGTTTTTAAATTACTGCTTAAGAATAATAAGCTTTCTAGTGATAGATAAAAAGTGAACCTCACGAAGTAGCAAAGCTAACCAGATCACGTCATATATTGTATTCTTTTCAGCTAATGACATGTATATTCAGTGATGAATTAAACAAAAAGTTATCAATGGTATAATCCAAGTCTATAAGTACATAAGGTTTATCCAGAAACTATCATGGCATTTTAAATATGTTGAAAACCAGTTACACACCTTGATGTAACTTGGAAACCAATCACTCACTCATG